TCACACAGATGGTAAGTGATGGGTCAGAATTTGAACCCAGAGTCTCCTTCTTAACCACTCTGCTATGCTTTTGCTTCTACTATTGACTCAAATCCTTCTTGGGAACACATACCTCCCACGTATATTTTTCTTTCCTTACAGAGCCTAACTGCAAAAAAAAAAAAAAAAAAATGTGAGTAGGTGCCAGGGACCTAGGGAGGAAGGGGCCCCGTGGCCAGGATGCACCTTCCATGGCAGGGTGAGGTCAGGGATTGCTCTGAATCATTCTCGGGACTCTGAGAATTTCTTTCTGAAACTGAGCAATAACTTCAGACCCTTCCCGAGATATTCCAGGCATAACCGAGGTGCTAGATGTCAAAAACCAGGCAGGCTGGGGTGCAAATACCTGCCACGACCCCACAGAGATACCTGCCCGCACAACTTCTGGACACAGAGGGCAACCGCTCTGTTTGCTTCATGTGCTCTCGGGAGTGGAGACCCACCTTTCCAAACCCAGTGTCCTGTCTAGGACAGGCGTCGGACATGCGCCTGGGCCGTGTCATTAGAGGGGGTCCAGGAATCTTGGTTTCTCCCCCAAATGCCCCTTCCATGGCACTTTCCACGCTGGGTTAAAATTGTTATAAATGGGGCAGCCCGGGTGGCTCAGCGGTTTAGCGCCTTCAGCCCAGGGTGTGATCCTGGAGACCCGGAATCGAGTCCCGCGTCTGGCTCCCTGCATGGAGCCTGCTTCTCCCTCTGCCTGTGTCTCTGCCTCTCTCTCTGTTTCTCGAATAAATAAATAAAATATTTAAAAATAAAATAAAATAATAAATTAAATAAAATTGTTCTAAATGCTTGTCTGGTTCTTTCACCCCTGCTCTGGGCCAACTCTCATGTTGTCAGGTGCTCAGTAAGCCCAGAATCAATGAATGCAGGGGCGTAACCTCAAAGATGGGGGGGGGACCTTCTCAGAGCTTGCACCAATCACGCGCTCCCTGTCGTCCACTGCGCTCCCTTGGGAGGGCCAGGCTGCCGGGCCCCTCCTTTACCTCCTGTCCCCCTCTGCACAGGACGGACGGTGGGGACCCGGCCCCAGCTCCTGCCCGGCTTGGATCCGCCAACTCCGAGACCTAGGAGGGGAGACCGGGCTCCACACGGGAGCGCTGAAAGGGCGCGGGAAAGTCTGAAGCAGGGTCTCTGCGGCGTCACCCGGGGTGCGGGAGCCGATCGTCCGCCCGGCTGCCGCCCCCTCCGCACAGGTGTCCCCACCGGGTGGCCGCCCCCCCGCCCCGCCGCGGCCCGGCCCGCCGCCCCCGCCCGGCTGGCGTCCGCGTTCTCAGGCCAGGGGAGGGAGCGCGCGGCGCCAGGGCCCCAGGTTCGAATCCCGACGCCGCCACACCCCCGCTGGGCGGCCTTAGCCGCGGCGCTCGGCCTCCCGGAGCGGGAGCGGCCGACTCGGTGCGCCCAGCCTCCTCCTGCTGGGGACCGAGTGGGCGCTCGGGAAACGTCAGCTTCCTGCCCGCTTCCCGCCCCCCTCTCGTGTTTCCCTCCTCGCTGTTCGCCCTCAGCTTTAAAAAAACCTCCCTCCCGCGCCCTTTCTCTTCTCCGCTCCGCGGTCTTCGCCAAACCGCAGCCTGTAGCAATGCTGCGCGCCCACCCGGCGCCCCGGGAGCCTCGCCGCGGCCGCGACTCGCCCCGCGGGCCACACGGCCACCCGCGCCCGCCCCGGCCCCGCGCGCCCGGCTCGCACCCGCCTCCACGCAGCCCTCCGGGGTCGCGCCCGGCTCGCGCCCCAGCCCTCCCGCCGCTGGAGCCGCGAGGACGCGGCGAGGCGGGGCGCGCGGGCCGGGGCCGGGGCGGGGTGGCCGAGGGCACCGGGCGGGGCGGCGGGCTCGGACCCAGAGCAGCGAGCGCCAGCCCCGAGACCGCAGCCCGAAGGCAGCGCTGCAAATAGCCGCGGTTTCCAGCCGGTGCCCTGCCTTGCTCTCGGCCTTCCGGACCTTTGGGATTTTCTCTCCCCTGCTTCCCGCCGCCCTCTCCTCGGCCCCGTGGCCCCTGCCTCCTGCCCGCTGTGCACCCGCCACATCCTGTCCCACGCGGGGCGGCTTCTGCGCTGGCGGGGCCGGGAGTCCACGGAGGCCCAGGGTTCCAGAGGTCGAATGATCACGGAAAACAAGTGAGGATTCACCGCGGGCATACGATGCTCCAGGCACTGTGCTGAGCCCTTTAAAACTGGGGAAATCATCAAGTCTTTACCACCACCCAATGAGCAGCAGCTCCGATTTGCAGATGGAGAAACTGAGGCTTGAGGATACTTCTTAAGTCCTAAAGTCATCCTGTTTCGACTTGCAAAATGGGAAGCCATCTCCCCCACCCAGCGACCCATGCTGTCACTCTGCCTCCAGCCCTGTATTGCTTGCTCTTAGAGGCTGAGGCCCTGGTGGGAGGTGAGAAGCAGCTGACGGGGGTCTGGGCTGCTAGTCTGCCACCAATTCTTACTGTCACCTAGAGCAAGCCCAACCTGCCTCAGATACTACATCTGTAAATGAAGGAGATGAAAAGCGAAACTCTTCCCTGTAAGGAAGAGCTCATCAACAACAGTGGAAAACCCAAAGTGGAAGGCCACACCCTTGGGGAAGTTCAGTGGGAAGCTGAGTGACTGTCATCTGGAGTGTTGGGACAGACCAAGAGTCCAGGGCTGCTGGAGCCAGAATCAGGCTGAGCTGGGGGATCTGCATTTTAGCACATGCCGTAGTTCTCAAGCCATCAGTTTGGGATTCACCAAAGAGATTGCTGGAGGGGAGTGGAGGGGGTATGTTGGGGGTATCTGCCCCCAAACCTCCACACCTGCCCTCATCCATCTCTGCTATCACTGGCCTGGACTCAGGGTGACAGCACATTTCTTAAGGACCCACTGTGGGCCAAGCACATTTATATCACAGCTGCACTCAGCTTTTGGCGTAACACAGCCCACCAGCAGGGCTGCCCTCGCCCAGCCGTCCCCTCTGGGAGAAATGGAGCACAGACCTTCCTCCAGGGGAGCAAAGGCCTCACACCATTCTCCCTCTGGGTTGCCACTCCTGCACCACCCCCGCGCAGAGCCACTGGAGATGTAAGCGGGAGATACTGGGAAAGCCAAAGAAGAGGACCAATCAATTCTTGCTGGAGTCAGGAATAGACTCAGAAAAACTCTACTGTGGAGGTGACCATGAAGCAGGCCCTTTAAGAATGGGTGGGAATACACCAGGTGGAAAAGGAGGTTCAGGCAGAGGCAATAAGCCAAGGTCAAGGCGTGGGGCAGGGAGTCTCAGTCTCGTCTGGGAACAGATGGTGCAGTTTGTCTAGGACCAGGGAATGGCTTTGGGGCAGATGGGGAGGGAGCACGTCCTTCTCTAAGCCAGCACGTACGAAGCTGAACATAGCTTTCCTGCCAACCATAGGTCTCTTCTGGACTATGAGATGTTGGAAGACAGGGTTGGCATCTTATTCATCCTCTGTAACCCCGTGCCTCACCCAGGCAGTAATGGTAACAGTAATGACAGTTAACAGTGTGAAATATTTACCTCCTTGCTCTGTGCTAAGGATGCATAACCTCATTTCTTTTTAAAAATTTTTTAAATTTAATTATTTATTTGAGAGAAAGAAGACAGAGGGAGAGGGAGAAGTAGACTCCCCACTGAGCAGAGCCTGATGTGGGGCTCTGATCCCAAGACCCCGAGATCATGACCTGAGCCAAAGGCAGATGCCTCAATGACTGAGCCACCCAGGCACCCCACATGGTCTCATTTCATTCTACAGCAACTTTGGAAATAAATTATATTGTTAATCTCATTTTACAGATGAGGATTCTAAGGTTTAGAGGGGTTAAGTGATGTGTCAAGGTCACACAGCTTTTTAGTGGTGCAGCTAGGGTTGGAATTCAGGTCTCTGACCACAGGGTCCTTGTTCTACACTGACAGATGGACAGAAAAATGGATGGATGGATGGATGGATGGATGGATGGATGGATGGATGGATGGTTGGAGGGATGGGTGGATAGAGGGATGGATGGTTGGAGGGGTGAAGAGATGGGTAGATGGTTGGTTGGATGGATGGTTGGAGGGATGGAGGGATGGGTGAATGGATGGATGGATGGATGGATGGATGGATGGATGGGAGACAGGGAGGAACTAAGTAGAGAAGGGCCTTGAAAGCCATGCTAGGAAGCCTGAACATTATGCCACGGGCCATAGGAGGACATTGGGAGGCTGTAAACAGGGAGACACATGTCAGGTTAGGGCTTTAGAAAGATCATTTTGACAGCAGTGGGAAGTAATTTAGAGCTGATGACACTTGAGCAGGAGGCCATTTTTCTAGCAAACTCCAATTCTTCCTTATGAGGAGTTTTACTCCTTTAAGTGCTATGTTACTTCTCTTAGGGCAAGATGTCCATTTCTATATGTACATGGGAACCCCCGATGGAGGGGAACCTCAGGAAGGGGGTGCGCTGTGATGGGGAGACAAGTGGTAGAACATTGAGTTCTGGAGCCGAGGCCTCTCTTACAGGGGAGCAGAGCACCAGGAAGGGAGGAGCCACACAGTCCTCCGCCCCATGCCCAGGATGACAAGGCCCCCTCGGGCTTCCAGCCAGGCCCCCACACAGTGCCCCATTGTGCACCTGCCACCAAGGGAATGCAGCCAAAGGTGAGGCCAGTGTTGCATCAGAGTGCTAAGCCCTGGGATCAAGTGCAGGGGTGGCAGTGGAAGAGGTCTGGACCCTCCTCTCGTATCATCCTATCATCGGCCTTTCCAGCCAGCCAGAGAAGGAGGGACGGGAGTCACAGGAAGTGGCCCCAGGGGCCAGATAAGCCCAAGGAAAAGCAGGGTAGCTGGAAGGATAGAGAATAGGTGGCGCTTCCCCCCTCACACACGCCCCCAAACACACACTAAAGGAGCCAGAGAGAGGACGCAGGCCTGTTGGCGGCAGCATCTTCAGGCCAAGAGGGGCTTCCAGAAGGTCCCAGGATAGAGCTGTACTTGCTATGCTGCTCTGCGTCCCCCTGCTTCTCCTGATGGGGCTGTCTGCATGCACTGGGACAGCTGCCGAGGACCTGGCAGTGGGAGCTGAAGCAGGGTCCTGGATAACCTTGACCCTGGAGGTACTTCGGGGCTGATCTGCTGTGGAGGGGGCGGGGTGGATCCCTTCCACGGCTGCGCATCGTTAGCCACGTTGCCTGGCCTGGCCGGGGCACATGTACATGGCAGCAATGGTGTGTGAGTATGTATCTGAGGGTTTGTGTTTTATTTCACACATCCTATGTTCCTGGCACTGTTTGAAAGGCTTCCTAAGTATTAACCAGTTTAACCTCATATCAACCTTGTGGGGAAGGCACCGTTACTATCCTCATTTCACAGATAAGAAAACTGAGGCACGGAAAGGTCAAACAGTGTGTACAAGGTTATGCAGCTTCAAGAGCACGACTGCACGTTTGCCCAAGGTCAGATTCGGTGTGTCTGTCTATGCATCAGAGGACATTTTCCAGAATTTCCTTTCAAGGGGGTCAACTTGGGGCAGGATCACTCTTTCATTTCACGTGTAGAAACTCTTATTTCCTGGTAAGTACTCAGTTTGATTGCCACTGTCTTCTACTAAACTGACCTGAATGCTGTCACTGGAGAGAAATCCCGAAATTCGGCACACGGCTTGTGTTGCACCCGTCTGAAGACAAAGATCCTGAACTTGGGCTGCTCCCAAGCAGACAGAGGAGCGAGGCCAACAGACCAAATAGGATCAGTGCTCAGTGGGGGCTTTCAGGAGGGCAGATGGGGCGAACCTGAGCCTGGCTTTCCCAGTCCTGAGATGGTTAGGACCCTGGGGCCACTGCAAGAGCCATCGAAAGAACTGCCATTTGTGGTGAGTTTCCTTCCTGCTCTGTCTGAATGTGGAAATGTGTGTAGTAAAGAACACAGCAGGACCCACCTGGGTTCAAGTCCTAGCTTCTCTGCAGGCTCTGTGTGACCTTGGGAAGGTCGCTGATGCTCTCTGGCCATGAGTTTCCACACCTGTGAAATGGGAGGAGAGGGAAGTAGATCCCCAAGAGTCTTCTCAAGTTTTTTTTTTAAGATTTTATTTATTTATTCATGAGAGACACACAGAGAGAGGCAGAGACATAGTCAGAGGGAGAAGTAGGCTCCTCGCAGGGAACCTGATGCGGGACTCGATCCCAGGACCCCAGGATCATGACCTGAGCCAAAGGCAGATGCTCAACCACTGAGCCACCCAGGTGCCCCATTCTCAAGCTTCGACATGCTTTGCAGAGTCCGAGTCAATCACCATAGGAACTGGCCCAGGGAAGCTGAGCGGTGTGACAGGGAGCTCTCTACATCATCCACTTCACCTTGTGCTGCTGGGCTTTCCACCTGTGAGCACATCCCCCTGCAGCTGGGTCTCATGCCTCTTCTGTTTGCCAAGACATAAGAGTGGGAGTAGAGGAAACATTCACACAAGTGAGGCAATGGAAGGAAGGAACGAGACGGTGACAGGATGACCTGATCACCTTGCCAGCTCTGAGGGCTCCCTCACCTGCAGTTATCCCTGAGCTAGGGATTTGGGTTGAATGCATAAGGAAGCCTTCAGGTAGGGGAAGAATCTTTCCTGAAGGAAATGGAACCAGCGTTCAGAAACCCAGGGAGGTGGGGAGAGAAACTTAAGTCTTATTTAACTCATAAGTAGTTATCCTCTCCAGCTTGCATTTGAAGGCTGCCTTTTACCCAGGCAACGTGGTTTTCATGAGCTTTTCAGAAAGGAGTCCAAATCTCCAAAGAGACTTTCCCAGTTCCTGGCCAGGCTCAGCGACTCCTGCCCAAGACAAGCTGCCCCAGCCCTTGACATCCTGGGCTGCAGAGTGGAAGTGACTGAATCAGTCCAGGGCTCAGAGAACAACCCACTCCTGGTCCTGAATGTCAGGACCAGGTCAGCCGTGAGAGGCAAAGGGGTTCCCACTACACCCCAGCCATGTCCCTGTGGGTCTCAGGTGCTCCAGTGCCACCCCTGGGAAAGACGGGCACTGAAGAATGTGCCCCTGAACCAAGCCCAGGTCCCATCCTCTTCGCAGGTGGTTTGGGATACTCTAGGGCTCTAGCTGTCTGTCTTCAGCCTTCTTGGAAAAGGAGACCCTGTCCTTCCCCCTCTTCTCAGACTGTCAGAGAGGGGGCCCCTCTTCAGCATTCTGTATCCTACACAGGCTGTGTTCTAGGCTTTGTGGCAGGTTCAGGGCACAGAGAGATGTGAGGATGGTCTAATGACTGTCACCCACTGTCATCCTCTCCATTAGCATGCATCTCTCCCTCTCAGCATAGCTAAGCAAGCCCTTTGGGGGCTCAGCTTAAGACCAGAAATGGAGGTGACTTTTTGGCCAACATCACAAAGGCTGATGGAAAGAATGAGAACTTCAATCCAGAGCCCTTGGCCCAGAACTTCCACCCCATCAGCTCAAGGATGAAAATGTCTCTGCCCAGACGAGTGGCCTCCATCCCAGGCCCCATACCCTATTCCCTTTGGGAGGCCCAGGCTGTGGGCTAGGGTAAATCTGGGACAATGTGGAGAGTATGGGGGGAAGAGAAGATAGCAGCAGTGAGAGTGGGGGTACCAGGGACGCCACCCTGCCTACGGGGTACCCATCATGAGTTCATCAGCTGCCCCTACCTGTCTATGTTGGAGACATTTTCTAAGATGGCGCAGAACCCATGCTCTGGAGTCAGACTCCTTGGGTTCAGACTCTGCCTCCACCACTTCCTGTGTGACCTTGGACACATCACTTACGTCTCAGTTTCCCCATCTGTAGAGTGGGGATAAATCATACTCACCATGTCATACAGTGGCTTTGAAAAGTAAGTGAGATTTTGACTGCACTATTTGAGTCTTTGAGCCAGATGACTGGGACTCAAATCTGGCTCCGTCTCTCACATCCTAGCTGGTGAGCTCATACAAACCAATGTCTCTGTGCCTCAGTGTTTTCATCTGTAAAATGGTGACCATACCAGTTCTTACTTGGCGTGGTTTCAGTGAGGATTAAATGAGTTAATACATGAAAGTGCTGAGACTGGTGCTAGGGATGTAGTAGGTGGAATGTTAACTATGAATTATTGTGCCTAGGCGCAGTATTGTGTCAAGAATGCACCAGAACCAGGTGCCAGCACAGAGCAAGTGGTGTGACACTGCTGTCGCTCAGGTGGCCCTCCCTGTCCATCTCCAGCCCCAGCCTCCCCTTCCCCCAGCTCTAACGATGAACTCTCTGCTTCTCCAGGACGGTGGCATCCCAGGCATTCAGCTCCAGCTCCAGCTCCAGGAGGTGAAGAGGGGCAAAGCAAGCCAGTTCTTTGGGCTGATGGGGAAGCGGGTGGGAGGTGAGTGACAAAGGTGGGTGCTGCCCAGCAGGGAGTGATTTTGAGTGGATTTGGAGACACCAAGCAGAGGCCCGGCTTCAAGCCCAGGGGCCGGTAGGTGTCGCCCATGCAATAGTGTCCAAATGAATGATCAGCAAACCCTGCTGCTTTGGAGAGTTCATTATGGCAGGCTATAGTGATAAACCTGGGACAATCTCTGGCAGGTCGGGGTGCAGTCACCTTAAGGGTGAGAGCAGTGCCTCCCACCCTGCTGCTGCCCTTGCATCCCTAGTTGACACTAGGGATGACTCTGGAGACAGGTGGTGAAGCTGGACATCAGTGTCTAGATGAGTGCACAGCCACCAGCCAAGCTCCAGTCGATTCTGTTTGACTCAGGGAAAAATATTAAATTGAACCCGTGTTCTCTAGGGCTCTCTCCATGTGGGAGTCATGTCCCAGGGGGACAAGGAGCAAATAGTCTGGACAGTTTTCTCTTTTTCATTGTCAACGTTTTATGTTTTATATATATATATATATATATATATATATATATATATATATATATGTTGTGTATATATGTGTGTGTATATATATATACATAAAACATTGACAATGAAAAAGAGAAAACTGTATATATATATATACATAAAACATATGTGTGTATATATATATTATCTATATAATACATATACATGTCTGGTTGGGATTCCCTCTCCCTACCCTACACTCTCTCTCTCAAAAAATACATATTTTTTTTAAAGATTTTTATTATTTGACAGAAAGTAAGAGAGAACACAAGCAGGGGGAGCAGCAGCAGAGGAAGAGGGAGAAGCAGGCTCCTGGCTGAGCAAGGAGCCCACCATGGGGCTCGATCTCAGGAATCTGAGATCATGGCCTGAGCTGAAGACAGACACCAAACCAACTGAGCCACCCAGGTGCCTCACACATGAATCTTTTTTTTTTTTTTTTCACACATGAATCTTTAAAACAAACCATCAATAGGTGAATAGTCAAAATATATTAGGCACACCCATAGCTTTTGTGCCCATTAAAAAGGATGAGACAGATTTGTGGAAAGATATGGAAAGATTGCCAAGATACCAGGTAAGTGGAAGAAGCAAGTTACATAATGATATGCATGCTAGAAGCCTACTTGTTTGTTCAATTGGTTTTCTTTACACTTCATACTTTGGGGCGCCTGGGTGGCTCAGTTGATTGAGCGTCCAACTCTTTGACTTCAGCTCAGGTCATGATCTCAGGGTCATGAGACTGAGCCCTGAGTCGGGCTCCATACTCAGTGATGAGTCTGCTTGAGATTCTCTCTCTGCCTCTCCCTCTGCCTCTTTCCTTGCTTGTACTCTCTCTCTAAAATAAATAAGTCTTTAAAACAATAAAAAAAACAATATATTTACGCACACATACATGCAAATACATAGGCAAATTTCTAGGATAAATATCAAACCATCAACAGTGGCCACATCTAGGCTGGGAAGTGGAAGTAAGGGAGAGAGAGTGAAAGGGACCTTAATTTTTACTGTATAAACCTCTCATTACTTGATTGCTTTTACAGTGGGCATGTACTCAAAGACTGCTTTTGAAATTGAAAAATATGCACATAAAAACAGAGAAAACTGGCTGGTGACCAAATACTTCTGGCCTTAGTCTTCTCCTCCACACAATGTGTTCTGGACTGGGCTGCTTCAGGATTCTCTTCCAAATCCAACGCCCTGTGAGGAGCAGGAGATGGGGACAGAGGAGAGAGATATACTGAGCACCTAGTATGCTGACATGTGGTGACATCTCACAACAATGTCCCCCTTAGCACCAGTGGGAAAACTAAGATTTAGATAGGTTAAATACTCTTCCAAGGATGCCCAACAGCGGCCAGGCACCAGTGACTCCGAAGTCTCTGCACTTCCCGGTTCTCCCACTGTCTCCTGCCTGGAGCAGCCAAATGGCCCAGGCATACTAGGTCAGTGGGAAGTGACTGGAATTCCACGGACTACCCACCAAAGGCATCGAACCCCAAAGAGCCAGGAGCCCTTCCCACCTTACACCAAGCCCCCAGGGAAGCAGTGTGGCCCTCATTCCTTCTTTCTCTTTCCCCCAGGAATACCTCCTATCCAGCCAGAGAGAAGAACAGGTAAGTGTTGCCCAGACCTTTCTTCCCCCAGCACGTTCCCTAGGGAGGGCTGAGTTGGCCTGGCCACTAACAAGTCAGGGAGGTGGGGGAGATGCTCTGGCCAGGGGCACCCCAGGCTGGCATTGGAGGAGGTAAGGCCAGCATGGTTTGGCCACTTGCTAGGCTTCCCAATTGTTTCCTTAGAAAGGGGGTCTGTGCATACAGGGGGAGGAGTTGCAGGGATAAGGAGACAGGATGAATCTAGTTCTGCCAAAGGTTCAAAATCACTTTGGGTCTAAAGCCTAGAATTGGAAAAACGAACCAATCCCATTCCCCACACTGCACCTAGAAGGATCTGAAAAGTGCAAATCTGAGCAGCCAGTACGCCACTCAAAATCTTTGCTGTAAAGGGGGAAAAAAAATCAAAAGAAAACCAACCAACCCTTAGCCACCACACCCTCAGTGCTCTGTGAGGATCAAGTCCAATGCTCTGACGACTCACCACATCCTCCAAGCCCCACCTCTCCTTCCCCGACTGTGGGCTCTACCCGGACGGAGCTGGTCCCCACGGCCTGGGCGCCATGCTGTCCTTGGCACGCTGTCCTGCACTACACTGCAGGGTCATGTGGCTGGTGTCCCCAGAGCAGAACCCCTCCCACCATGGGCAGTAGCAGGACTGCCACTTCCTCTGTGCCTGTAACACAAGCAGTTGCTATTAGAGGTGCCCACTAGGTGTCTGTGCAAGGAAGGGCAAAGGGAGGGAGAATGAGGGAGAAAGAGGTGGACTTCAGTGAAGGAATCAGTCACCGAATGAACCAATCCACGGTTTTTCCGCCAGCTCCCAGGATGCTTGAGGAAGGACTGCATTTATGAGGCCCCAACTCTGGTCCTGGCCCTGCCATGCCCTTCTTGGGTCCCAGGACGGCCTTACTCTGCTGCCCTCTTTCTTCTCTGTGTCTTCTAGCTCCACCACCAGGGCACCAGCAAAGACCAACGGAGCAGGGCCTCCTGGGCAGGGTGGGGCCATCTCCAGAAGGTAGGTGAGAGCCTCTGGTGGATTGCAAGGGCCTCATGAGAAAGTGACCAGATGCCTTGCTGCCAGTTTCCATGGTGGGGGCCAGGCAGTCAGCCAGCCAGAGCAGGCTCCCCACAAGCCATTAGGCAGATGTCCGGTAGAAGAGAGCAGTTGAGGCGCAGGGAAGTGGTCCCTTTGGTGATCCAGATTTGAGACAGCCAGAGTCCTGAAGCTGCACCCTCTCCACCCCCAACACACTCTGCTCCCCTCTCAGACCAGCTGAAGCCACAGAGAATGATGTATGTTTTTTCAGACCCTGGAATATCCCCCTTATTCCCTCACTGATGAGTGATTGTTAAGAAAGTCATGCCTTTAGTCTTAAGATATTTCCTGTCTTCAACAATTGTGTGGATCACTCTGGGAGGGGTCACACCCTCAGCAGTTATCAGCTAACACCTTCTGGCAGGGGCCACAACCCCAGTGGGTCCAAGGGTACATTCAATAAATGGATGAACAGGCCTGAAGTTAGGTAAGTGAACCAGGCAGGGGTGAAAGATCAGAAGCTCAAGGCAGCCGCCATGGGAGAGGCTCAGAGATAGTGAGCTCCAGTCTGCCCTCACTGATGCCTGACCCCTTCCCCTGGAATGCATCCTCTAGCAGGGTGCCTTTCTAGCTTCCCTGATAGAACACCTGCTCCTTCCAATATAGGCTCTTGGGAACAGAGATGGCAAGCCCTCTATTTCTCCCCCGAGATTCTTTTCTCAATGTCTGTGCTGTTCTATTTTAAGGGCCAAGGAAGTCACCCCAGTACCAAAATAGAAATGAATGTCCCTCCATGCAGTTTGTGGGCAGGAATCCCCTTCTCAGGGAAGCAAAGCAGCTTGCCCGAAGTCACAGTGAGCAGCTGGGCCTAAAGCTGGGTCTCCCATCACCTAGTCCACAGAGCCTTCGGCATCTCTAGGAGGGCCTTTGGACTTTCAAATACTGGATTACCACTTACCTCCTTTTAGAGAGAATAGCTGAAGGCTGGCTCATCCGTGCCCTGGAGCCACTTGAGATTGAGAACTAGAAGATACGGCAGATGAATTTGTAATGGATTGCCTCAGATATCTACAGCCTGAGTTAGGGAGATGGAGGGAGGGCCCAGGGAGAAGTGACTAGGGAAGCCTTCCAAGGGTGGAGGATACAGACAAGGTTCCTGTAACCAGTCATGTACGGAACTCTCCCCAGGCAGAGAGGATGAGGACCAGGGGCCAGAGTGAGAGCCCCCACCACACACTCTGCAGAGGACTAAACCCTGCTCCTGCCCTGGATGTTACAGCTGACAGCCAGCCACACCAACCTCTTCTCCATGTGTCTCCTGTGCCCGATAATGGTGTGTCCCACCCAGCCTCACTGAACTCACTGCGGTTCCTTCCCTATCCTCAGTCCTAAGCAGCAGTGATGCACAAATGCACTGTTGCAGTTGCAAGCTGGAGTGACCCTGCCCTCCCTCAGTGCTCAGTCCCTATCTCACTGCTAAGCAGGGCCAAGTGTCACCCACTTCTATGTCTCCTGTCCTGCGACCTAGTAGGAGCTCAATAAATGGACAAACAGTGAGTAGTTTCTTCTCTGGTACAGAGCAGAGAGCAGGAATGGCCTGGGCTCCACACTCTGCCCAGTGATTTGGCAACGCAGGCAGGAGTCGGGCCTTTCCTGAACTGCAAAGGGCAATAGTCAACAGCCCTGGTTCCCACCTTCAGGTGGGAAAACAGGCTTGGGACACAGGTATGGAGGACAGCCTCCCGCCTGAAAGCAGACACCCTCTCCCTACTCATAGTCATCATCTCAACGCCCCAAATCCCTGGGTCTTCTGACCTGGAGAACTGGGTCCCAGATCCTTCATCAATTCTCGTGTATAACGTGGCTATTCAACTAAAGGCTTTCCTTTTGGAACATGGGCAGTTGGTCATGCTCTGAGCACTGGGAAGAGCTCCAGAGGAAGGAAACATTTCCTACCCTCAGGGAGTCCCCAGTCTGATGGGGAGACCACTGTCACTGTGGTTAATGGGGAGGACACAGAGGACCCTAGGATGCTTAGAGAGACACATCAGCCAGAATGAAATTGTGGAGGGCAAGGCTGGTAATAAGCAGGGAGGGCTGTGTGAAGGAACAAGAGAGACGGTTTGTTGTGAGCCCTCAGGCCTCCCCAGTGTTCCTCCTCCTACCTTACTCTCAGTGAGCTGTATAGGAGTGGGGCAGTGCATGCCCTTTCCAGACACCACAGCAGGATCCCCCAGGTAACACACTCTTTATCAGATCCACTCCCCAACTCCTTACTTTCAGTGGCTGGTGCACACCCACCAGCCCCCATCTCCCCACCCACCAGTACTGGGAGCCCAAGAGGCAGTTCAAGGTCATAACCAAACTTGAAGGATCCTCAAAGATTAAAGATTTTATTTTTGAAGTTTGGGACGTTTAAGAGAAACTGGAGTCCCCAAACACGTTGTGAGTTTCCCTCTGTGCCAGCACTTTGCCAGGAACCCAGATGGGACCAGGAAGATGGAAGAAGTAGAAGACAAATCTGTCCTTGGAGACCTAACACCTTCCAAGGGAGTTGAGATGTGCAAAGCCCATGCCTTGCTCTATTGGTCCTTTTCAAACCCACCTATGTTCCATCAAGCTTCTGGTTTCTGCACATACCATTCTAGGGAGTTCTTACTCAGAGATCAATGTCTCTGTAAAGCCTTTCCAAGTTGGGAACCACCCATTCACCCCCTCCCCTGTGTTCCCAAAGTACCCTGCACATTCTTCCATGACAACACTTAACATATGATGTTCTAATTCTTGAGTACATGGACCACATCCGATTTATCTTTATCCCAGTGCCAGCACTAGCACTTGGCACACAGAGGTCCTTGGAAAGTTTTGTTATTGTTGTTTTTTAAGATTTTATTTATTTATTCATGAGAGAGAGAGGAAGAGAGAGAGAGAGAGAGAGAGAGAGAGAGAGAGAGAGAGACAAGCAGAGGGAGAAGCAGGGTCCATGCAGGGAGCCCAAAGTGGGACTCGATCCTGGGACTCCAGGATCACGCCCTGGGCTGAAGGCAGCACTAAACCACTGAGCCATCCAGGCATCCCAGGAGAATGTTTTGACAAAGGACTCACACTTCCTGTCCTCGCCAGGTCTGTCTCTAGAGAGCTATGAGGGAACCAAACTTAATGCAGGTACCTGAAATCAATAGCAGCTAAAACTTACTGCATACGCATCCTGTAGTTCTCAAACTCAGCATGTCCCAATGCTCAACTCTTCACCTACTGCCAGTCCTCACAGTGGTGAGCATCTCCAGAAATGGTGCCTCTGTGTGCCCTGCTGCTCTATGAATGAGAAACCTGGGAGTTATCCTCCACTCCTCACTCCCAACGTTGAAAATGTCCCCTAGCTCTTGGTTTCTCCAAAATCCGTCTCAAATTCCTGCCCCCTCCACTACCATGATTAATACAAACCAGTCTGCTCTTGCCTGGAGGGAAGCAGCCCTGAGAGACTTCCTTGCTTCCCTTCTTACTGCCAGACCCACCTCCATCCATTTTCCACCTGGAGCATGGCCTTTTGAAATGAGAAATTGTGGGGGGGAGGGTGGAACATCTGGGTGGCTCAGTCAATTAAGCACCTGCCTTTGGCTCAGGTCATGATCCTGTGGTCCTGGGATAGGGCCCAGCATTGGGCTCTCTGCTCAGCTGAGAAGCTGCTTCTCTTCTTTCTTCCTCTGCCTGCTGCTCCCCCTGCTTGTGTGTGGTCACAAATATTTTTAAAAATGAGAAATTGGGTCCTGCCATCCCCTGCTGACCACAGTTCAGCTCTTGGGATAAACCTGAGTTTATCTTGGGATAAACCTAAATCTCATTAAGGCCTCCAAGGCCCAGTGCTCACAGGTCATTCTTCACAAGCCTGGCTCTTCTCTCAGGCCCTTGAACACACCAAGGGCTTGCTTACAGTGGGATCTATACCTAAGTGCTCTCCACTGTCTGAACGCTGCCCCCATCCCTCCACTCTTCCTTGGACTATCTCCTCATTGTTCAGGTCCAGGATAAAGGCCCTTCCTCCAACAGGGTTTCCTCTGTAACTGAGATCAACTACATCCCTCTAGTTCTACTCACACACCTTGTCCTTGTCCCTTCATGGCACTGATCACAATTAGAAATTCTATGTATTAATAGGTCTCCTACAGACACTTCAAGGGCCATGTGTTTTGTACAAATCAGGCATGCTGCAAAAACAATTTCCATTCACAATTACTATCCTTACTCCGTAGATGAAAAGCCACGTGCTTTAGGTTACACAGAGAATGGCAGAGCCAGGATTTGAGCCAAGGTGCCTTCACTTCAAACACCCAACCCCTCCCTACCTTACTTGGTCTATGCCGTAATCATACAGACCAATCTCTGGCAGAATTAAGACTTCACAAGGAATTATTTTTTAGCGGGGCCATTTTGACTCTTAGGAAAGAAACTTCCAAATATCTGCCTCCAGCAAACCAGTCTCTCAGGAGGATCCTTCCAGAGCAGATCACTTTAGGGAATGTTACTGTGTCCTCTTCTAGGAAAACCCCAAGGGAGGTTTTGAGAAGCTATAATGTTAAGAAACATACTGATACTTTTTAACTGTCTTCCAAGTATATGACTACAGTATCCTTTTTGCCCATACTACTGCGTTCAACGGGCTTGGGAGGACTGTTGAAGTGGAAGATTTCCCAGTAAAAAGGGGGAAAGGGATAAAGGCTAATCCAGTTGTACTTTGAGTTAGGTGTCAGAATGATGAAAGCTATGTAGGCTGTCAGCTTATGGAAAGCCTTGAAAGCGAGGCTCAGTGTGACCTTAATCCAATGAGGAAAGGGGAAGCCTGATGGATGAGCAGAGAAGTGACGAGAGAGCCACGTCTCGATAGGAGAACCTTCACTTTCGATCGCCTTCTGTAAGGAGGTAGCTAATATTCCCAGGCCAGGTAGGGAGGGGCCTCAGCCCCACCTTGACTGACAATGCAAATAAACAGGGCTTGAACTGGCTCCCAGGGTGCCACTGGATGGAATAGGAATCACACCCCCTAGAGTTACACAGGGTGGTGTCCCTCTGCCCAACACATCTGATTCCCAATCACAGGCAACGGGTAGATGGGACCTCCAAGCCAAACTGAATTCTAGTCCTCTCATTTCCTGCACTTAACCCATTGCAGTGTATTGAACCATCCCAAAAACAATGGCTTATGAGCCTTTCTCACAATTCCCTTGGTTGGCAGGACTCAGCTGTGTTCCACTGGAGAGGTCTGGGATTCAGGTGCTACTGGCTACAGCTTCTCGGTCCTTGCATGCATGGTCTCTTACACAGTTCTGTTTACGTTAGCTCAGGCTTTTGGTGTGGAAACACTTCAGCTGGTTTCCGACAGCCAAAGCGGAAGCTGCCAGAATATCATATCTGACACATCCAATTAGTCAAAACAAGTAAAAAGTCAAGTCCACTCAAGAAGGGAAAAAATTCTTATTGGAAGCAGAACACATACCCAGAAATGGCAGAAATTGCTGGTGGCCAGCTCTAGAGATGACCTAGGTTTGTGTGTGTGTGTGTGACAAGAGTGTAGACTTCTAATACCATTGGAATACAAGCTGTTCCCAGAAACAAATACCCAGTTAAGAAAAGAGTAGCTTCTTGGAATGAATAGGACTTATAACAGATAAAGGTGTTCTTAGAGAGAACAGCTGGGAGGAGGCATGGCCAATGTTGCCAAAAAAGCAGGTTATTTTATCCACTCTTGGACCCCAGCCCCCAAATGGTGACAGTATGACCTGCATGGACAACTACTGCACAAGACAGAAGAGACGAACAGCCTAGAGATATTTGTCACCACTGGGCAGTCCTTTGTTTCCTTCTCAGTGACATTCACTGGCATTCTCTTAGAAGGTGCCACAAAAGGAGTGGGCAATTCTACTAACCCCAGGAAACAGTCGAAGAGGCAGCCATGCAAGTCTGTAGCAGAAAGTTCTAGGGCAAACTACGTGGATCTGGTACTAGAATTCAAGATCCTCACCAATAGCAAAGGGTAGTTTCCAGAATTCCTAGCACACACACGTATTTAGCAAGCAAAGGAGTTTTTGCTTTAATAACATACAGAACCCTGGTCAGCATTTTGTATATACATGCACCTGCGAAGCATGGGAGGAAGTGGAGACACAAAGGGCTGGGCCTGATCCCTCGGTGGTCACTCCACTTCACTCAGTGGTACCTGTTGGTTTGAGCCTGCACACTCACATCCCAGCTGAGGGTCTCAGAGTGAGTGAAGGCAAGGTTCACAACTGCTCACAGAAGCTTTCTTATACCAAAGTTTTCTTAATCCCAGTATGAGAATGGAATTCGAAAGCTCCATTTCCTGAACTGTAGACAAACGTGCATTTTTGCATCACAGATCCAATGCTAGGATTTTTCTCAAAAGTTCTAAAGAGGAAAAAAAAAAAAAGGTAAAGGAGCCCTGCTGAGATACTGCTTGATCCTGGCACTACACACAAACTGCTGCTGGAGGGCCATTTGGCTTATCAATTGGCTCTTCAGACGAAGGCAGGTTTAGAACTACCCTTGAAGTGACCTCTAAGATGCTTTCTGTTCTGTAATCCCAGAGTGTGTGCTGTAAGCAAGCTGTGGTCTTTTTCTAGCAGCCTTTGACATGAAGCCCCAACCCTGATCTAAACCAACTGTCCTCACATCAATTCCGCTGAGGTCATTCCTAACCCTAGGCAGGAAATCTGCCTAGAACTGCAGGGAAAAAACAAAGTTAAGTCAAAAGCATCCTCTTGTTACATAAAGGGTAAACCCAATGATTTGACTCACTATTCCCCCCTGTGAGAAATAGGGACAGGCAGAGGCATCAGAGGCCTCAAGATGGCATTAATGCATGTGGAATCTGAGAATCAGGGCTTGGTTCCCATAATCCAGCTGCAAGACCACTGAGCCTCCACCTTTGCCAAGAGAAGAACGTCCACCTTACAGAGGTGTGGTGAGGGACACCAGAGAAGAGCCAGTCCTTATTGAATAGTTTTCCTAAATCGGCAGCAGCGTCAGAATCTGGGGCTGGGGCTTCCTGGTTCAAG